TTTCGAAACGGACGAACTATAATAATAATTGAAAATTTCAAAAAGAATACAATCGAGGTGTCAACTGATACAAACTCCATTGAAAAAAAACAAAACACCTACAAAATACCGACAAAATACAACTCAATGAAGAAGATTGACTAGGAAATGACTTGGCCTTTATTTAATCACCTCAGCTGTGATCTATTCATCTGCCATATTAATTCGCCTACACCTCCACACTCTTTATAACGCTGCAGCAAACTTCCTAAACAGCACACTCAAACCCCTTGCAAGTCCCAATATCCACCATGGCTCGCCCGTTGTCGACCGACATCTCTCAGTCGGTGAAGCTCAAATACGTAAAGCTCGGCTATCAATACCTGGTCAACCACTTCATGACCTTCTTCCTAATCCCCCTCATGGCTGCCTTGGCCATAGAGACCCTCCGCATGGGTCCCGAGGAAATCATCAACCTTTACAACAAACTCGAATGCAATCTGCTCTACCTCCTTTGCACCTTCTTCTTCTTTATATGCATTTCGACATACTTCTTCATGTCGCGTCCCAGGACAGTCTACTTGGTCGACTACGCATTGTTCAAGCCGCCCACGAGCTTCCGGGTCTCGTTCGCCGGGTTCATGGAGCACTCCCGTATGGACCTTTTGAGCGAGCCCAAGAGCATCAATTTCCAGATGAAGATTCTGGAGCGGTCGGGCCTGGGTGAAGAGACATGTCTACCCCCCGCGCTGCGTTATATTCCGCCCTCCCCAGACATGGCCTCGTCCAGGGAAGAGGCGGAGCTCGTCATCTTCTCCTGCATGGACTCGCTCTTCAAGAAAACAGGGCTCAAGCCCAAGGACGTCGACATCCTCATTCTGAACTGCAGCCTGTTTTCTCCGACCCCGTCACTAACGGCCATGGTGATCAACAAGTACAGAATGAGGAGCAACATCAAGAGCTTCAATCTGTCGGGCATGGGCTGCAGCGCGGGCCTTATTTCAGTAGACCTGGCTAAGGATATGCTTCAGCACTACCCGAATTCAAATGCGGTGGTAATCAGCACCGAGATTTTGACCCCCAACCGCTACATGGGGAAGGAGAGGGCGATGCTCCTACCCAACTGCTTGTTTCGGATGGGGGGCGCCGCCTTGCTGATGTCCAACCGGCGGGCCGAGCGGCGGCGAGCCAAGTACCGGCTGGCCCACGTTGTCCGCACGCACAAGGGCTCCGACGAAAAGTCGTACCGGTGCGTTTC